ACCTGTATGTGAAGAGTTGTTCTCTCAGAGCTTCCTCAATTAAATGTGCTGCCTTCGTAGCACAGGCTTTAAAGTAGAAGGAGATTATTTTTTTTAGGTAATAATATATATGCAGATGGCATTGCAAGCGATCCTTCTGAAAGAAAAGCCATTAAGGAATGGCCTGAACCATCCAGCGTCAATCCTTGCAATCCTTCTTTGTGCAGTGATAACAGACGGTGTGTGTTTGTTTAAAATTGCAATCTCTTGCATAATGTGGTAAATCAGTGTAACTGCACTTCAGCTAGGGCACGTCAAAAGCCAAGAGCATTTTGGGATGTAGACTGTCAATACTAAATGTTAAAAATAAGACTTATTACTGGATCTATTTTAGGACATGTAGATTTTACTCACCCGTTTATCTTGGAGACTGTTGCAAGTGGTCAAGGGCTTGGAGCCATTATATATCAGCAGAAGGCTGACAGAAACAGGGTGATTGCTTATGCAAGTAAGGCGACTCAGAAATGCCAAAAGAAAGTTAAAACACAAGAGAACCAAATACAACATTTGATGAGTTTTGTTTAAACAAATTGTAAGTTGATGAGCTGTTAACATTTAGAGGGTATACATGTTTTCAACTGACCTTTTTTGAGTTCCTGAATGAAACATCAATATATTCAAAGACTAAAAGTTTAAAGGTCTGACTTGTCTTACTCATTTAGAGATTATGTGTCACAGTAGATCTGTAGTGTCCAACTGCCAAAGAGAAACGTTTGTTTACTTGCCCAAACAGTTGTATCTTAAGCCCTTTGTGTTAAACAGATTGTCAGTTTTCTTTAGATCAGGATATTGTGACATGTGACTGAGTTTAGGTGGTTTCCTCTACAAATGTAAGCAAAACAAGAGATGAGCTGACTGGCCCGTGACATCATTTACACGCATCATAAGCCAAGATGGCGCCATACTAACGACGGCCTGTTGTAGCTGCTCCGGGTCGCAGTCATTTCTTGTGCTTTTTGTAGGGTTTGTGTAATTTTTTAATATTTATTTTTGCACTGTCAAGCGCTTTTTGCAATGCATTTACATCAAGGTGCTTTGTGACAAATTGGACACTTTGACACTTTTTTATTACTCATAACCGGCACCACTCATCGGCGTTGTTTACACCCACGACCAGCTGATGGTCCTGAGGCACACCACCCTCTTGGCCAGAGAGAGACCCACTATACCAGAGGAACTAAAGAGGAAGCGGCGAGGCTGCAGAGCGGAGCTGAAACGGAGGGTGAAGAAGAGAAAGTTTAAGCCCTTCATCCCTGCAGTCATCACTGGAAACGTGAGGTTGCTGGCAAATAAAGTGGACGAACTGGAAGCGCTCACCAGGACACAGAGGGAGTACAGAGAGTCCAGTATCATGTGCTTCACCAAAACGTCGCTGCATGAGCAGATACCATTCCCGGCTTTGCGACCGTTCGAGCCGACAGGGACCGAACCGCAATGGGCAAGAAGAACGGAGGGGGGACTCGCCGTGCTTGTGAACAACAGGTGGTGCCCCGGACACGTCTCCATTAAAGTGCGGATCAGCAGTCTGGACATTGAGCTTGTCGGCATCGGACTTCGTCCGTACTATTTTCCATGGGAGTTTACCGGTGTAATTGCAGCCACTGTTTACATTCCAACATTCCCCCATTGGTAAAGGGAGAAGCAGTGCGTGACGCTATCCACGCTGTGACTGCAATACTACAAAATAAACAACCTGGGGCATTTATCATAATCACAGGTGATATTCACCATGTTTCCCCTTCATCCACATTCCAAAGTTTCTTCCAGTTTGTTAAATGTGCCAACCGTGAAAATAAGACTTTGGACCTGCTGTACACAAATGTTAGAGATGCGTACAGCTCCAATTGGCTGGTCAGACCACAACCTTGTCCTGTTCTCCCCATCATACAAGCCTGTGGTTCAGCATCACCCAGTCACAGTGAGGACAGTGTAGAAGTGGTCTCCTGAGGCCATGGATAAACTGCGTGGAGGGCTGGAGGCCACAGACTGGAATGCTCTGTATAAGCCACATGGTGAGGACACTGATTGGCTAACTGCCTGTGTCTCTGAGTACATTGGGTTCTGCATTGACAGCACCAATCCCACTAAAGACGTCCGCTGCTACCCAGACAACAAACCGTAGGTAACCAGCGATCTGAAGGCCCTTCTCAACAAGAAGAAGATGGCCTTTAAATAACGGGACAAAGCAGAACTCAAATGAGTAAACAAAGGGCTCAAACGCAGTATCAGGGAGAGTAAGGACAAAACTGGAGCCAAAACTGGAGGATAACAAAATCAGGGATGTCTGGAGTGGGATGAAGGACTGACAGAGAATTGGAGGAGCAGTTGAGGGGAATGAAAGGCTTGTGAATGATCTGAACCTGTTCTTCAATAGGTTCAGCTCCCAGCCCCCAATCCCAGGAGGCCCCTCGACTGCCTCTCTGAGCAACAACCCCTGACACACACTCTCACTGCAGACAATCTCACACCTTCTGCCCCCGGGACGTCCTCACATCTCCCACAACCCTCCCCACCACCTCCTTCAGCAGAAACCTTACTGTACCACCCTCGTTACCTCCACCCTACAACCGACTGGAGACATCACCCATCCCCCCACAGTAGACTCCACATCACATCACAGCCAGCCAATATAGGAGAGAGCTGGAGAGAGCTGAACAGAGGAAAGCCAGACCGCATCAGTCCTCGTGTGTAGAAGGAAAGTTCCAGCCAGCTCTGTGGAGTTCCCCAGCACCCCTTCAACTTAAGCCCACATCTTCAGGGTGCCAGTGCTCTGAAAAACATCCTGTCTGGTCCCAGTGCCCAAAAAAGAATGTCCTGCTGCACTGGAGGAAGACAGGCCGGTGGCACTGACCTCTCACATTATGAAGGTCATGGAGAGACTGGTTCTGGTATACCTCAGACCGCTGGTGTACCCATCACATGACCTCCTGCAAAATGCTGCAGATGTCAAATCAGTCTGTTATGGCGAACACCATCTCCTTTGCTGTGGTGTCCTGGGGTGCGGGCATCAAGGTAAAGGACGCCAACAGATTGAAAAAACTATTAATAAAGCAGAGTCTGTTGTTGGTTCTAAGCTTGTTGCTGTCCATCATGGTCAATCCGTCCCACCCCCTCCACAAGAGAAGCAGCTTCAGCAACAGACTCATTCAACCCTGCTGCTCTAAAGAACACGATACAGGACATCGTTCCTACCTAAAGCAACAAGACTACAATTAATCTGCCCCTGTCAGGGCCTCAATCACAGAACTGGACTGCACAGTATTTTATTTTTTTTATTGTAAATATTGTATCCTACAACCGGACTGCTACGGCAACCAAATTTCCCGGGGATGAATCAAGTCATCTATCTATCTATCTATCTATCTGTCTGTCTGTCTGTCTGTCTGTCTGTCTGTCTGTCTGTCTGTCT